ATTAATTAAAGTCATGTTGTAAGTTATATAGGTCACTATAATAAGATTATTAAAATAATCTAATAGCCTAAGTTTAAACCAAGAAAAGTGATAGAAGTGGTAAGCATAAAGATGTAGCAACAAAATAGGATGCATTTTTTGCCTTTAATCCCTAAGCTATAAAGGTTGTATACGTCTATGAGCTTAGCTCCTCACATGATGTGGCATAAAGAAGTGATAGGGTAATGACTTTTTCATCTCATAGTGAGACTTGACAACATTTTGATTAAGAGTATCTCAAGTTTGCGTCAAATCCTATGAATGTAAGGATAGGATTGTGTGTTGATAGGTTTACTCCAAACAATTAGTTTAATAAATCATATTCTTGTTGACCTAGTGTGGTTACACCTTTGAATATTCCTCTCAAAATGTGCATGAAAAATTCATATTTGTGTTTAACTTGTATAATTCTTATTCCAGAAAATCTAAAAGTTAAAATTGATGTATACTTTTAATCTTTGATTAATGAGTTGAAAGAATTATGGTGTGCAAGTGTATTAATTTATGACCTATTATGGAGGCAAAATTTTAATATGAAGGCAACAATGATGTGGACAATTAATTATTTTTTTTGCTTATGAAATGTTGTTTAGATGGATGACTCAAGGAAAATTAGCTTGCCCAATTTGTATAGAGGATATAAAGGCATTTACTTTGAAGTATGGAGGAACAAATTTGTGGTTTGATTGTTATAAGAGATTTTTAGATATGGAACATCTTTATAGACACCTTGCCAACATATTTAGGAAAGTAACTATTGATAATGAGGTCCCTCCCGTCTGGCTGGTCATCAAGTATGGGACAAAGTTAAACAATTCTAAGAAATAATAGAAGTAGGAAAATCTATCATATTTCCTTGTTACAGAGTGACACATAATTAGACTAAATAAAATATACTTTAGTAGCAATTATATTGGAAGGATAACTTTGTTTGCCATTATTTATGTAACACCCTCATTTTATAATTTATTATTATTACAATTTATGTTAGTTGTTTGTGCAGGTTATTTGAAATTAGGAGTGTTTAGTTGATGTGAACTGCATGATTTCTTATTGTAGCAAGATGTGTCTCGCTGTAGCGAGAAATGAGCGTCCAGAATCAGGCTCTTTGACGCTCTCTCGCTACAGCGAAGATGCTCTTGCTGTAGTGAGGAGCTTTCACTATATTTAGAATGACAAACAGTAAAAGAAGAAAACTTTTGATTTTTTTGCTATAGCGAGAAAGTTGCGAGTTTGAGAGATATTTAAAGAACTTTTGTCCTAAAACCTTCATTTTCAACCAAATCACCTATCCCTCTCCATCTTCTTCATTCTTTTTCTCTCCCTTCCCAGAGAAAACCTCCAATAACTCTAGATCTCTCTCGGATCTGAGCTCAAGTGTCCATTTTACTCAAATCTAAGTAAGTTTTCAGAGCTCATCTCTTGAATCTCGTTTCTATTTTTCTTTTCTCTTTTTCATAATAGAAACATACCTTGTGATGTTAGGAATAACTCTAGTTTTTGGGTAGTATTTTTGATCGAGACGTGAAGTTTCTCTTTAGAGCATATGAAGAACATAGTTCTTAAGATTTATTTCCAGGTAAGGGGAGTATTTTCGAGCCCTACTTTTATTTCTATATGTAGTAATCCCATGAGAACTGAAGTAACCTATTTTAGTAATAATTCATAAAATTTTTATGAAGCTATATGATAAGAGTGGATTTTTAGTATAAAGAAAGATTATGAATTTATTTGAAATCACTAGAATCAAATTCTTAACAAAAGTCATCAGCTAGAACAACACTAAAGGTGTCTGACCCCGACATATTGTGTGTTAATATGTTACTACCATATAAATGTGTGCCGAAGTGATATAACAAAATGATTATGCTGAATTGTATGATAATTTGTTAGTGTTTGAGGTTATATGCTGAAATAATGGAATATGATGATCATATGAATTTGATAAAGTTTAGCTGGTACTAGAAAGAATAAAGGTATTTATCATAAATATGTGAATTAGAATTAGTTAGGACATGCGAATTATTGAAGATGTTTGATTAATCAAATGATGAGAAAGGGGATAGAAAATTATGATGGTGAACAGGGGTGCATGAGTATGATATTGAGAAATTATGTGATATGAAAAGTGATAACATGTGTGGAGGAAAGAAATATAAATATTAATACGTGAGTTACAAATACGTCGGTTGGTGAGATTATAATATATGTGTTGTAATATATCGACGGGTGAGATTATAACATATATGTTGTGATACATCAATTTATGTGTTTGTAACATATGAATTAGAACTTTAACAATATAAAGTGATGTGTTATGGTTAAGATATGGTGTGGATAGTTTAGGGATACACTGAGATATAGCGTCTAGAGTTGATTGTGGAAATATGAGAAAAATAAGAGTGGTAAATGTAGTTCACTAATGTGTACACGATGTAAAAGTGGGAAGCATTTACTGGCCTCATGCTCATTTCTTGACCGAACTCCTAACTATACCTTTGCTTGGAAGGCTGTGAACGCACACGTTGTATTCGTGTATGGTTTGTCTTACCATCGACTATCTATGGTGCGTAAGTCCTTTGTAACTAGAGAGAATACATTGACAGTAATGTAGGAGCCTGAGAGTACCTAGAGTACCATTGTATTGATGGAATATGAGGATCTAAAATGGGTAAAGTGACATGAAGTTATGGATTGGATAATGATATTTAGCTAAGTGAAAAGTGATGTGCTTTCTTGTTTTATTATTGTATGTTCAATTAAGAAGTTAAGTTTGGAGGGAAATCAATGTGAATGGATTAACTATTCTTAAATAACAAAAGAAATTATATTACATGTGTAAATTAGAATAAGTAGAAATGCATATGTTTTGGATATGAATTGATCAATATTTTAAAATCAACATGATAAAAGTGAGATGAATTGAAGAATTAAATTATCGTATTAAGCAAGGAGAAATAGATACTAATTAATCAAATGATGAATGAATTTGTAAGAAATGAAATGTTCCTAACTTATTATATGTGGCTTTTGAAAATACTTTTTGTATTGATTTCATTAATTTGTAAATCAAGATTTAGTGGGTAAGGGATGCTCACTCTTACAACTATTTTTCAGTTAAAGAAGGTCGATCCGTTTCAAAGTCATACTCACAAGGAATGGTAGGAAGGGAACTGCTCTGTAGAGTTTAATTTATTTAAAGGAAAATTGTAAAGATATTATTGAATAAGTTCTATTCAGAGTTATTTACTATATGTAATTATATTGATGAAAGTTTTTAATTTAGAATTGAAGCACTTTGATAAATATATTGTAAAGGATGATTCAAAAATTATATGTACAATATTTAGTAATTAATTGGTAATATAGCATTTTAGTTTTCATTTAAAATGGTGGATTATAAATAAACAAATAAATGTGTATGTATGAAGTTCTAAATTTTACTCAATTTTAGTAATTTTACCTATTTTACTCAAATAAATGAAGATATTCTTATATTTATGAAGAAGAAATTATTTAAATAATTATGGGATGTTACAGTCTAAGTGTCATGTATGTGAAAAAAAATGTGTTAAACAATATCATGAATATTACGATGGATATTGATCGAACTAAAAATAATGTGAAACTAAGAAAAGAGTTAGAAGAGTATTATAGGTGTCTTAAATTGATGTTACAACAACTCATAGATGGTTGATGGTCAAAGCCAAATACAAGCTACACTTTGGGTTTACCATAAAGACAAGATGCGTATAAATAAGTGAAAGATTTGAAAATACCTTATGGTTATGGTTCAAACTTAGATCGTTGTGTGAATATTGAATGAGGAAGGTTTTTTGTGATAAAAATCATGATTGTCACGTATTCATGAAGTGTCTTTTACTTATTGCATTTAGGAAGCCACCTAACTATATTTGAAAGACATTGATTGAGTTAAGTAAGTACTCTTAGAACCCGTGTTCACCTTCTCTTAGAGATGATGATAGATAAAAATATCCCTGTAATTTTGTGCAAATTAGAGAGAATACTTCCTTCTAATTTTTTTGACTTTATAAGCACTTGCCTATACATTTAGTATATGAAGCACGTGTCAATGTACTACTACAATAACAATATATTCATATGTTCAAACAAAAAATAGGAAAGTTTAAAACAACTGTGAAAAAGAGAGATCAAGTAAAAATCATTAAAATTTTAACCTTTACTTTAATTCTTTTGCCTGATTATCAAATTAATACTAACTTTTCACTTAAGGTCAATCTTTTAAGAGTTGTGTGATAATTTTTTTTAAATAAAAAGCAAACTTAATCAAATGTTGAATTGTAGTAGTGTTTCCCAAAATATGCGTTAAAGAATGATGTTTATTATATTATTTTTTTTTCATTTTTTACATCTTTGTTGGACATTTTTTACTTTATTTATAAATTATTTCTCCAATATTATATAGCTATTTTTTTTTTCATATAAAACCTAGGCTCAAAATTTAAAAATACATCAATTTTTTTTGTTAATAAGTTATTGTAATTTAATTATTTAATAAAAATAATAATGATGTATTATTGAAATTAAATAATATTCACTTTTTATTTTTATTTTGAAATAAAAAATGTTAGGATTAGAAAAAAAGATTAAAGAAAAAAATAATATTAATAACATAGTTTTTTTATGTATTTTTTATTATTAGTTAAAATTTATTGAAAATCACAAAAAAATATGAACTTTTCTCGTTTAACTAATAAGTTTCACTCATATTTTTATAATTTTTTAATAAATTTTAAACAATAATTTGAAAATATGTTAGAAAATATACTTTAAACACTCACCACGCTAAAGCATATTTTTTAAACCACCTTAGAAATTTATATAGATAGGGTTAAAATAATAATTTTGTTTTGGGAAGGAATGTTAACAATTGAAGTGAGGTCCAGATCCTAAACTTGAAAAGGGCCTGGGCCCAAAAGGGAGAGAAACAATGTTGTTGTTCAAAGTTGAGGTGGCAGGCACAGTGCGAGTGCGTCGTTGCCATGGCGGAATGTGTCTATAGGAAGAAAGCAAGCAATCACACACAGTGAGAGAGTCAATAGACACAGAACAAATGGCTCTATTCCCTCAAGCTACACTCCCTCTCTCTCTTCTCTTTCTTCTTCTGTTTTCGGCGACATCATCATTGGAAAAAGAAGAGTTCTCGGAGGAGTTGCTGCTGAAACCCTTACCCGATCGCAAAGTGCTCGCGCATTTTCACTTCCAAAGCGAAGCTCCGCTTGCGGCTGATTCCTTCGCTCGTCACCACCACCTCTTCCCCAAATCCATTTCTCAGCTGGTGTGTGTGCTCTTTAGAGTAACAATGATAAATACGTTTAATTGCACTTTTCTTTTTTAATATTTTCACTTGGATTTGGATTAAGTGAATGCTGCTTTTTATATATGTTATTATGTTTTTTTGAATCTGGCTATGAGGATTGGTAACCTTCAATTTATGCTTTGTTTGGATGCAAGGGGAAAATAAGTGGAAAGAAAAAAATAAAATAAAAATAAAAACACGCATGGTGATGTATTTTTGTTGTGTTTAGTTGAAGGGAAAGTGAAAGAAAATTTGGTTTTGAGAAACAAAAATCTAAACTTTTTCTTCTATTTTTTCTTCAATTTAAATTTAAGTATTTCCCTTCTTTTGTGTGTTTTTGGTTCGGCTAAATTTGGAGAAATAATCACTTGTTGGGCTTGTGTGTTGATAAGAATGATTATGGTCCAAAATAAAAAGCAATTTTCAATAACTGCACGAGCCTTGACAGAGAATAATTGTGTGTGCTGCTGCAGCTTGACATCTAGCTGTTTGTGAATTGTGAAACAGTTTTGACATGTTTTCCTGATAGAACATGTTTCGCAGTTTATTTTATTTTTCCATTGCACTGCATGGTTTTTAATCCACCAATTGGTAATAAAATTAGAAGTTAAAAGTTTCTAGATTTGAGTAATCAATGTTTCTTACATCTATGATGATTCTATGGATGTTGAACAAAAAAGTTGATGTTTTACTTCCCAAAAATATAACATCCAGAAATTTCCTTTTGCCACCTATAGTTTAATGTCGTTCTTACTAATTAAGATGATAATTCCATCATCCATGTACTTGTGGTTCATATGTGTGAAAGTATCACTAATGGGACCTTTGGGGGTAGTGGTAGCTGGTGCACACTGGACAAATTCAGGATGCTGAAGTATAGAAGTTCTTGAGTCTGAAATGTGTCATCATTGTGCCAAAGAACAAAGACTGATGCAGGAATCTTAGCAAACCCATTTACATATATAAGTGTGGGGCTAAATCTCTGTGCTTTTCAATTTTTATCTGTGCCATTCAAGTTTTTCTGAGTAATGTTTTCTTTTATTGCGTTTTATCCCTCATAAAGAGTGTGTTGAGGAAGGAAATTTTTTGTTCTTCTAACATCTTATACATTCCTGACAAGAACAATAGCCTTTTCCTGCCATTAACATTTTAAGGAAGTCCGTTACTTAATATCGAATACTAATGGACCTTCTGGGTTTCACTATCTCTATGGTTTTGGACATGCTTTCCTTGGTTACACTTTAGCTTTTGCTATGTTTTTGTGCTTTTACTGTGGATTGTATTAGCAAGTTTGTATAATGTTGTTACTTTCTGATTGCTCATAAAGTTTTTCTTGAATATACTAAGTAACATGTGGAGTAGTGTTGGATGGACAGGTTCAGAAGTTTCATGTTAAAGCGATGGAATTATCTTTTACTCAAGGTCGGTGGAACTATGAAAGATGGGGTGGATTTGATCCAATATCAAGCCACAACGCAAAGCCTCCAGGAGTTGAATTGTGGGCAGTTTTTGATGTTCCTCTACATCTGGTTGATGCTTATTGGAAAAATTTAACCCATTCACTGTCAGGTCTCTTTTGTGCTTCGATCAACTTCCTGGAGTCTTCTACCTCTTATTCTGCTCCCGAATGGGCATTTCAATCAGCTTTGGGCAGTTTAAGATATGGTACACTGCCACGTGAAGCTGTCTGCACTGAGAATCTTACTCCCTGGTTGAAACTCCTTCCTTGTCGAGATAAAGCTGGAATCTCTTCCTTAATGGATAGACCGTCTATTTACAGAAGCTTTTACCACTCTCAGCGATTGCACTTGACAATGTCCACAGCTGTTTCAAATGGGTTAAGTTCAGGAATTATTCTGGAACAGACACTTACAGTTGTACTTCAGCCGGATAATCAGAAAGCTGGTTTGAACTATGTTAGTCAAACAAAAACACAACCAAGTTGGTCTCTGAGTTCAATATTTGGAAGAAAGATCAATGGAAGATGTGTTCTTGCAAAGTTGAGTAATGTTTACCTTCATGTTGAGAGAGGTCTAGTCACTCAACTTGAGAATCTCCAGAAGAATGATAAATTTGCTGCCAATGACACAGGTCCTGATGATTTTAGAAGGAATGTTGGCTTTGAATTGTCTGTTACTCCCAACAAGGTGCATAAAGAAGTGGAAAAGAGCTGCTCTATTCTGTATGAATATCCAATCAATGAGTACAAAGACACAGAACAATTTGATTTAGGCTTAACATGGAAGCACCCGGTAGTTTGGTCCAGCCCACATGCACCTTTATATGCCAGTAGATTTCTGATGGGAAGTGGGAATGAAAGAGGTGCTATTGCTATATCATTGAAGTCAACAGAAATGACCCAGGGCCTCGTTGCAGCCAATAATGTTGAAGAGAGGTGTAAGTTGCAAGTAAATGTTCTCCAAATTGTGCCTTGGTATATTAAGGTATATTATCATACTTTGCAATTATTAGTTGATGAAAGGCCTCAAGTACTCACAAATTTTGTTGAGAAAATGCGTGTTTCACCTTCTGAAGACAAAGTATCACCAGGGGTAATGGAGCTAGTCCTCCAATTTCCTTGCGAAATTAAGTCAGCTTTATTAAATATAGAGTTTGATAAGGTTTGCTCAAATTCTTACTTTCATTTGTATTTCTTTTCGCTTTGCATATTTGCCTCACTTGTTTCAATCGACATTGAACTCAACATAAGTTAATGGGATTTAAACCTGAGAAATCTTAATAAGGAAATCCTTGCATGCTAAATGGATAAGACGGACTGATGATATTATATGAAAGGAGGAGGAATCATATGAAATATCAATTTGGTTTGTATTTATGATGTAAAATATTAAAAGTAGTAGTGGTCCTGGTAGAAGTGAGCAGAGTCGGGCATAACACTGGCTAGCCTGAGTAGATGTGATATACTCATTTAAGCTCCTAGGCTGCCCTTATATTGGCCAGGATGGTAAAATGCTATGAAGCCTAGATACTTAGTACAACATGGATACGATACGATACAGATATAGGAAAATGGGAAAATTGTAAAAATTTTTTTGAAATCATTTCATTTTTGTATTAACATAGTGGTAGAAAGAGTACTACACTGCGTCTGGACTTCAAATTGTTTACTTTAACCATGGTAATAGTCCAAAATTTTGGGTTAATAGAGAATCAAAGTGGATTTACTAATGAATCACGAAATGCTATGGTTCTTAAATATTTTTTTTAAAGAGATATTGATAATTCATTTATATTAATGTGTTATATTTAGATATCAATGATCACATTTTACAAAATAAAAAAAAACATGCTATCATATCTTTCCTTTGTTTAAGTAACTAAGTCAAAATATTTCTCCTACTATAAACATAAAAATTACATATTTTACCCCCTATTCAAGTTAGAATTTCACAAAAGAATTGGTAGTTCTATCCAAACAAAATATCGAACTATCACAAAAAGAAGGTCCTATCTTTATACTATTTAATTCATTCTAAGCCGTATTGGATGATTAGGAGCGTATCCCAGCCATATCTAAGCCATATCAGGTTGGAAATTAATTTTTAAAAATAAACTAAATTGTAGATGCTTTTGAGATAAGTATTTGGGCGTATCGGACACGTATCGGTATCGGTATCGGATACGGACACGTTGGCTGTTTTGAAGTATTTGGGCTTCATAGGTAAAATGTTATCCCACTTTACCCTTTATATATTTGGGAGTCATGCTCATACAAGCCTGGCTGACCCATTTAACAGCCCTAACTATATAACATAAAGGTAAGAAGTATATGTCATCAGAGCATAAAATGTGAAAATGTAGTAGTTTTTTGACTTTTATCTATATGTCATTGGAAGCTATGTTATGTGCTATGTCCACTGTAGATCATTTTAGGATGGATGAATAAGAAATTGGAGTCTTCAGATCAAATTGGTTTTTGACCTGCTTTTGCTGGTATGCGTAGGGCTTCTTGCACATTGATGAATATCCTCCAGATGCTAATCAAGGATTTGACATTCCATCTGCAATAATAAGCTTTCCTGACTTCCATGCCGGTTTGCAATTTTCTGATAACTCTCAAAGCAAGTCACCGATGTTGTCTAAATTACAGGTCATTTGAATCTGCGCTCTCTGTTCACAAATCTTGTACATATAATATTCTTCTGTCATAACTAACTGTCTGGATCTATAATGCAGGAAAAGAGTCCTGTTCTCTCTTACACAGAAGTTTTACTTGTACCCTTGACAACTCCTGACTTCAGTATGCCATACAACGTCATAACAATTACATGCACAGTTTTTGCATTGTATTTTGGATCTTTGCTAAATGTTCTCCGAAGACGTGTTGGAGAGGAGGAAAGACTGTTGAAAAACAAAGGTAACCCTCAACTCTTGTAGTGTCTGCATCTTGGGATACGAGTTCAATTTTGTATAACAATGAGTAACCCCCAAGCACAGACACTTTTGTGATTTATAAAGCATGCTTTCCTTTATACCAGTTAAAAACAAAGCATCCTCACTTTTTATGATTATAAAGCATGCTTTCCTTTATACCAATTAAAAACAAAGCATCCTCACTTTTTATGATTCACTCTGTCCTCTCTATATTAGTTTTCCAGATTGTTGCCTAGTACCTTCCCTGGTATTTATGATTGTATTCAGTTAGTTATAGAAACTAGACGTGCAATTTTGATACTAAAATGAACTGATGAGTCATTCTGGTAGATTGTAATCTACATGAGCTTTTTGGTTGTAGTGATCCATGAATATGAATGTCTATTTATTTGTATCCTAAAATTCTTATATCTTAGGATTAATTATCCCATTTTCTCATTTTCTTTTAGGATTGGTTATCATATTTCCTTATTCTATCATGATTTGTTTTTGTCATTTTAGTTAGGATAATAATTTGTATTAATAAGGATTAGTTCTTTTGGCTTCATGAACATCCCATCAGGTTGTAATATATCTCCGTTAATATCAATTCAATGTTTTTCATTCTCTTTCCTCTTTACTTAAAATAAAATAATTTTAACATGGTATTATAGCAGTCTCATCCTCTGTGACATGACCTGTCACTACTCCACTGCCAAGTTCCTTAAAATTAGGAGTTGCAGTTTAATTTCATGATTTTACCATCAAATTAATTGTCTCTCCTGTGTCAACCCTGGCTTTTTCCTGTTGTTCCTTGTGGCGAGTTGATTCTTTTTTTAAGCAATCCTTGGTTGTGTTCTGATCAAATGATGCTTCAAGACCTTCTATTTGAAATGTTTATTGCAGAAGGCATGTGTAATGAATGACTGTTATGCCATATGATAGTTATGCTTTATTTAATTTAGGATCAGTGTGAATGGGCAGTTATGCTATATGATGACATTTATGCTTGGTGGCGATTTATTTGTCAGATTGGAAGATTGACTTGAATAACACAAATTTTCTAAAAGCCAAAGCATTACTGTCTGATCTAGTTTTATGTTGGGAGAGCTTCTACTAACTTGAAGTTGAAAATTGTGTCTGCTATATACATTTGTACTGTCTTGATGTCAGAAGTTTCCTATATATGCAGTTGATACTTCTTGTGGCTGAACCTTAGTTTCTATACTAATACAAAGATAATTAATAATCTATACTAATACAAAGATAATTTTTATAATTCTGGATCTCTTCCAACCAAAAAATTTAGTTGTTCATTGTTGCTATGGTATGCTTTAGCGAACAAAAATGGGAATGGAAACCCAAAACATGGAAAATAGACCTAGATCCTTATCTGCCAACTATAATATAAGGATTCTGATTCCAAACCATTGAACAGAACTCATGAAAGAAAATAAATACATAACATCATTTTAAAACTGTTTCCAAGTCTAGTGTAATGCATTTATGCTTCTACCTTTTATTTTAAGTATTCTTATTCAGTTTAATGTCTTGTATTTTTCTCCCTGTAGATGCTAAAAAAGCTGTGTTCCTTCGTCGAGTACTCACCAAACTATCTTCCAAGTTAAAAGGCAGACCATCTGAATCGACTCAGCCACCTCCATCTTCATCATCATCATCTTTCGTTAGTCCAAAATTGATCCTTAGAGGACTACTGATTGCAGGAATTGCCGTTGCATGGCATTACTACTCGCAATGATATCTTCCAACTAGGTAGTTTTAGATGTACTATATTTTAATTGCATATAATTTTGTACAATACAAACCTTACTTCTACTGCCCTATGCACCTGCATTAATGTCTGTTTTTATTTGATAAAAAGAATAGATGTACACCCTCAAATTGATTGATTTAAACAAAAATTTTGTCCGTCTGATTTTGCATTATTATTAATAAAAAATTGCAATACCTTTTGTCTAAATTAGCCATTTAAACAACCTAGAAACGAGGCATTGTTATTCCTTACCGTACATTTGAAAATGAGTTTTATAATCATCATCGAGCTGAAAATGAAATTGAAGTTCAAAATGACAACAGACCTAACAAGCTCGTCACCTTTTCTTTTGTATTTTTTTTTCAAGCAAACAAACAAGACTTCGATTTTACCTCAATTGACACTAGTCTCGTAAACATGGGATGCAAACCCTCTTATAATTCATCAGCTCAATTCTTTAAAATATTTAAACTGGAATCAGTTATCAATTTCAAATACCCAAATGAATTCACAACGCCAGTCTCAAAATTTAGGCACAGCTGACTTTAAAGTTTGTGGCAACTAGCATATTTTTCCTAGATTTAAAATTTATTTATCCATGTTACGGATATTATGGGTCTATTTAGTTTTTAAAATACTCTGTTTTTACTTTTAATTACAAAATTGTCTCTTTTCATTCCGTTTCTTGTTTTCAAAAAGATTTGTACGAAAAACACTGAAAACAATTATTTTTTTCGATTTTTATTGTTTCATGTGCAAATCTTAGAAGACAGAAAACATAATGAAAACAGAAATCGTTTCCTGAAAGTAAACAGCCCCTAAAGTTTTAGCTCAAGGAACTTCTGAAAGTGTTTAGGTTGTCATTATTATCAATTCTCAACAAGAAATATGATTTTCCTAGCACATGAAGTGCAATGGTTTAATCCTTCGATCTTCCAAAGAAATGGCTCAAAAAAATCTATTATCTCTTATAGTGTTTTAATAGCATATCACACAGATCAACGAATTTACAGTAATTATTTAACAAAAGGACCAAGAATGAAAAGAAAAAAGGTAACTAAAATCAAATGTTCAAGGCACTATACTTCATTTCTTTTTCTACGAGAGAGACGGAGAGAGAGTTTATCTAATCCTTTTGTAATTGGCTGCCACAATTGCTTCGTCTTCTCTTAGCCGTTTCAGATTCTTAGTTGCATAACTGCATGTTAACTGGCTGCGTGGAATGCAGCCAGAGAGGTCATCAACTTTATCTCGAATGTCTGTGAACAGTACATTGAACGTGTTAATGTTGAGGCAGTTGTAGACAAATCTCGAGATTTTTTTTAAGAAAGGGAGGGGGAAGGCTTGAGTTGACTAAGTCTCACACAACCATGAGTATGTTCAGCCACTTTGGAGTAATGAGAAAACAAAGCTGCAGACAAAGCCAAATCTGAAGGGTAAAATTAAGGGTGAGGCATAAGAACTTGCCTAACTTGTCCCCAGTTATTTTTAGCTTCTTGAATAGGTTGAAATCTTCCAATAGATGCTTTCTCTTGCTGCTTTGGCCATTCAGAATCTCTCCTTCTGAAAAGAGAAACGAAAGATAAAAGAATATTAGTTAAAAAATTGTACAAATATACCTTCACACCAGAGTGCACCAAAATGATGACTACAAAATTGAAAACTGTTTCCTGAACATTTGATCATATAATGCTTACAAACTTTCAGGTGTAACTCCTGAATACCACAGGATTTAATATACATAGCACATAATCTTATGATTTATAATCATCAAACTGAATAATGTCGGCCTTATAGCTTGTCCATGGTTCTAGAAGGAAAAATTGATTTAAATACCAGTTATATATTCATCATAATTAACGGAAAATATATACCTGAGTTGCTCTCTCTCAACTTTTTATTCTTTAGCAAGTTGATGGCTTCCAGTTGAATTCCTCTACTGCGACCAGCATTGTCACCTTCCACCATCTTGTCAATGCCAAATTGAAAGTCTTGTGAGTCATGTCCTCCTGCATGATCACAACCAAATCCTAGATAAGGCAAAATATAACGTAACTAGCAAAACACACGCTTCACAAGGCACACCATTATTTTACTACCAATGAAAAAGTTTATTGACTAAGCCAATAGGGGAGTGCATGGAATCCATGTCCATGCAGGTATAAAGACATAGACAGGACCCTATGTAAGGAATTCCAATTACAATGCCTTATATGATCACATTGTTCATTTGCTTTATACGTATCCAACATTCCTTTAGGAAAGAAACAATTTAATGATTGGAATGATTGCTAAGTACTAAACAGTCTAAACCTTTTGGGTATTCTGACATTTCTGAGGAGTTCTACATTGGACACTTAGATTCATTTTAGTTAAATACAAATTATATTAATGCTTCTTCAGCGTGCACTCTCCCCTTTCCTTACCTCTTTCTTCTTAAAATTTTAGATCCTAGAGACAGTTATGGCATTCCAATTGCAAAGTGATATCTTACTATTAAACAGGGATAAAAAATGTAAATCTGTAAAAATAGTGTTTTGCGGACTAAATTTGGATTTTAACGGCAACAAAAAGAAAAGTGGAATTTCTCAAAATTTCATTGGAAAACAAAGCAAGAAGAGTTGCTGATGAAATTCTATACTGTCCTCCCACTTAAATTTTCTCAGAAACCAAGCAACACCATAAGAGAACTGAACATAAGAAAAAAAAACATAACTTTTTGCCAAAACAACGCAGGAACCAAAATAACACAGAAAAACAAAAGAAGAAAAAGAAACATACGTTTGTAGCGAACTTTGCATAACTTGCCAGTGACCAAAAGCGCATCACTGTGGTCTTTGCCAGTGGACAAGCCTTTAGAAGAGAAGAAAGAGAGAAGAGAGTTCCAAGTGACAGAGGAAGAAATAAGGTCAACCCCTCTACTTATGAAGTGACCATTGAGCCTCAACGTTGATGGGTCGAGCCCAAAAGCCCGAGAAATTAAGCCCAGGTCGATTTTCTGTTCGTCCCACGCAACCAGTTCAGTCACCTTCTGGAGGAAAGGGCATAGCAGCTTTATCTCTCTGGCTCGGTTACCAAACATGGTGGTTGGTTTGTCTCTCTTTGTTTCTTTTGTTTTCTCTTCTCTTCGAGTTTGAAGTTTCTTTTGGTTTGGTCTCTGATGATCACTGATTGTGTCTCCCTTTGTATCCATTTCGAGTACTTTCGATGCCAACGTTTTCTCGAAGTGTCTATGTGCCACTGCCAAGTGGGTCTCTGCATGGATGATTGGGTCAGGTCAAATGAATCGGGTCTCCTTTCTTCCTCTTCTAATTTTTCTTTTTATATATAAAATGGGGGTCTTAATTTTTAAATTTTTTTAAAAATTATTTTAAATAATTTTTTTTTAAAAATTATCTTGATTTATATTTACTTTTTATTTTTAAATTTTATCTCTTTAATTTAATTATAATTAAATATTTATTATTAATAAATAAAAAATTAGTTTTTAAAATTTATAAATGCATTAAATTTAAATATAATTATATGACATATTTTCAATTTTATTTTAAAATATTATTTTAACTTAATAATATTTGTATAGCATGCAATATCTCAGTGGTTTATCATAATTGTAATTGAATAAGAATGAGAAATGTTCGTTAGGATTATTTTGTACAATATCTGACTCATGCATGATTTCTCACTGTTATTTTTAGCTTTTATAAATTTATGCTGCATTGTTTATTATATTTCTATTTTACCTTAATTATTTTTTTAAACTACTAGATAAGTATTTAGAAAAAAATAATATATCTTAATAAATTAAAAATAATTTATACTTTTCAAATTTTAAATAAATAAATAAAATAATTTTTATAAAAAATATTTAAGAACATAAGTTGTCTTTTAATTTAAGAAAATAATTCAAATTATTTTACTGCTTAATATTTATAAGTATCTATTAAAGAATTTATCCAAATTGAACATAAATTAAATTATTAAATCAATAATAGTTTGGGTATTACAATTTGCACTTTACATTAATAACGAGTTAGCACTTTAGCATTCACCAGCAGCTATTAAAATTGATTAATTTGGAGTATTTTTATTTTATTTTTTTTAGTTTTAAAACAACTAGGCAAGTTTCTTTAAATTTCAAAATATAATACTTATAAAAAATACTGGTAACATATTCTCTAATACATATTTATAACACGTTTTTAGTTATTAATTAAAATTTATTAAAAACTAACAAATCATACAAATTTCATTTTTTTCTATGATTTTATTTTTCATACTTTTCATAATTTTTAATAAATTTCAATCAATAAATAAAAAATAAAAAAGTCTACAAAAAAAAAGTATACTTGTATTTATAAAACAAGTACAAAAAACTAAAAATAATAATAATATGATATCCTTTAATATATACAAGTGAACATATATATTAATTCAAAACATAAAATTACTACTTACGTCATACAACAATCTTTTCAAAATTTAACTATTACTCTTAAAAGTACAAAAATTCCAGCAATGACATTTAAATAGTTATTTTTGTTTGTTAAGCAGAAAAATTTATGTATAAGAAAGAAAATAGGAAGAAAAAGAACAGGTTAAGAAATTAACAAATATGAATCCAGAAAAATAATCTTCTATTCTTCATAATTAAATCTAGATAATCTTGAATCCCAAACTAGATCATTGTCAAACCATTCTAAATTTGATTATTTATAAACATGATCACAAAAATAAAAAATGTACAAGTAAATCATTTTCATTACAAAAATCTTTTAAAAAATATATTATAAGAAAACTTATTGCAGATTGTGATTGGTATTAGAGTTGTAATAGGTTCTGTTGTGACCAGAATTTTTTTTGGAGCCATATGACAGAAAAGAAGGAAACTGGTGAAATTACAAAACTTGAGATGGAAAAGAAAATATTATCTCCATATGACCTGAGTTCAAATGATAATTCAAGAAACGTGATCACCTGAGTGTGATGAGTAATATTTTTAGCTCATGCTTAAAGCTTTTCTGTGAGTTAATAGACTTTTAATTGTGCATAATTGATCAATTTTGGCTATTTTAATCCAAACTTCATTAATTGAATTTTATTAGAAAAATCTCCTTTATTTCATTATTTTGAATATTCTGATATTTGTTTACTATTTCTACAATATCTGTTTCTAAGATCAAATTTGTGAGGAGATTCATATTACTATAGGAAGTTGATTCATAGAGTTTTAATTTGATATATCATTTGTGAATTTTGAACTTCAAACTTAGAAGTTATGCATTTTAAGTTGGTTCTGATTTGCTAATGGAAAATACTTTTGATAAAGAAAGTGAACTTTCCAAAGGCTAAGAGGTCAATTGAGGTTGAGTGTAGTCACTTTCACGACTAAAAGTGATAGTTCCAACAAGGAATCCCTTCTTAGGCTTGCGCATGACCACTTTGCATGGTGAAAGTAATCATTTTGAGGGCCTTCTGGGTGTGTGTGGTCACTCTTGAGACCAAAAGTGAACGTTCTAGAGGCCTTTAAGAGAAATGTTGATGCGCATAATCATTCTTTCCACAAAAACTGATTACACATAGGCTTGTCGAGGAGACTATGCTGTGCGTGGTTACTCTTGGGGCCAAGAGTGAGTGTTCCATAGAAGCTTTGTAAGAGAAGGGGTTGCGCGTAGCGTAACTATTTTTAGGTCCAAAAGTAACTATGCGCAAGCCTACTTGTGGAAATCATGCTGCGTGTGGTTACTCTTGGGGGCCAAGAGTGGTTGTTCTAGAGATTATGTTCTGTAGGAGACCATGCGCGTGATCACTTTTCATACAAAAAGTGATCACGCTAGAAACACAGGAAAAATTATAAATAGCTTCAAACTCAGATTTAAAGTGACTTTTTCTCTTCTTTTTTTTTCTTTTCTAGACTCTTAGACGGATAGGGTGAAAGCTTTGGGAGTGAATTTCAAGGCTCAACTCTAGGATTTTCATCTTTCAATCTTTCTTCTCTTACTTTATTTGATTTTTCCATTATGCTTATCTTTTGTAATCCTGAATTCCACTATTATGGAAGGCTAAATTCCTGAATCCATTCACAGCTCCAAGGATCATGCAAATTTCAATTTGAGTTCTGTTTTACAATAATCAAATTCGATTTTGTTCTTTTCCTTTTAATTTTGGATCTGTTAATCATGATTATGATCTGCATTTCTGTGAGTTGAACATTGAATTAGGTAATTGATTGATAACTTAATTTGATGCATTTTAACGGATTAATTGAATGTTATTTTGATTAAACTTGTAGACTGGTTTGGTTTTACTATTTGATTGAATTGTATAATTACACTGATTGTTATTCAATTTCATATTTGAATCTTAAGCTGCTGTAATAATTCATAGGAGAATTCTACAGTACCTTTTCCTTATTAAGAGAGTACAATACCCTCTCTGTATCAATTAAATTTAATTTTATATTTAAAGGATTTAAAAAAATATATTAATTAATTAATCCTTAAATTTTTTTAATTATTATTGCTAAAAGATCCTTTATTTTTAAGTTTAAAGTTTCACAAAGATCTTCTGACCAGTTCATTTCTTATGATTCCTTTCATTTTATGTACACCGAGTACCCTGTATTATTCATTAACTTTTCATGAGATTTGAAGATTCATAAAGATTCTAATTAGCCCATTTCTTATGCTTTTTCTCATTCCATATACACTAAATACACTGTATCATTCACCAACTTTTCACAAAATTAATTTAAAAACCCTATCTTTACCCTCACCTGCAATTTTGAATCTTCGTTCATTTTGAGGCTCCTTGCATTTTTCCGGAATGATGAACCCTAAATCATATGTTGTAGAATTGTGACTTTTGTTACAAATTGAAGAAATTTCTGTGTCTTGTTTGTGAATCTCTCTTACTCAGGTAATTTGTGAATATGAGATTTCAATGTACCATTTGTATCGTTACTGTATTTCATAAATTAGTTAAATTTCGAATATAATTTTTTCTTGACATTAATGTATCATCACTTTTAGAAAAGAGAACTTTGTTTTCCTTTAAGTTTTTCATAACACCCATACACATGTATATCAATTCCTTTATCTGTTTTTTCCATTTGATTATTAATATGAATTGACCGTCCCTTTTGTGACAACCTTAATTTTTATTCTCAAATTAAATAATAATTTATATCAAAATGGAATAAATAATATAAATTTCATATATAACACGTAATATAAAAATATACGAGTAAATTTAAACTTTTCCATGAATAAGACCATTCACAAAATTTTGCCAATATGATGAGATGGAATAAGATAAAGTGTAATTTAATAATTATAGTATGTAACACCTTAATTTAATTCTAAATAAATAAATTTCACAATAAAATAATAAAAATTCTTCTTTCAAATTGTTCCCAATATATATAGTTTCAATAAAGTATTTTAAAATAAGGACAGATTATAATTTGTATCAAATCATTACTACAAGACTTAATTTAAATACATCTATATTTTTAAAAATAATTTCCTAAGCCCTATAGCAGTTCCATCCATCTCTTTACTGAGCTTGGTGCTAATCATCTTGGTCACCTGAAAAATAAACGTAAGGATGAGTACTCTACACTATCACACATATATACAAGCATAGAGTCTCACCTTCCCCAATCCACATATTTTCTAACATAATTTAAATCATACATCAACAAGTACAAGGTACTAATTCTATCATTTCATTCTCATTCATAAATAGGTGCGCTCACTGCACCATCAAACAATCATCATACAATACCCACGTGCACTTATTACACGCTAGCCACGCTTACTGTGGCATTGTGATCATAGATTCCTGATACCCTAAACCTTAGGGACTTACTCAGTTCACATTATCGATGGTCGTCGGATAACTTCTGTGGTACTGAGCCTCTCAAGCAAAAGCATTAGTTAGAGGCCGAGTCAAGAGGAGAGTGTGTGGTGTAACATCCTGCACTTTGATTTAAATAAAATGAGATTTATTAAAGTATAATTGGAATAGATTTGGATGGAATTTATATTAAAAAAAATTTTAAAATTTTTTTAAAAATGATGATGTCATTAGTGACGTCATGCTAATGTTATCAGTGACAACATGCTGACATCATGTACACATACAGTTCGTGTACAGTACATGTGCA